CATGTGCTGAAGCTAAAAATTCATGCTTCACACATTGGATCTCAGTTCATTGCTTTTATTCTCATTAGATTAGCTAGCCATGGGATTGACATCTTTATATGGCATCTACTACTCAAGAAATAATTCACAAATAAGAACCAAAAGCTTGACTGAGATCATGGAAACTACCATGGAATCTATGCGGAGTGTCTAAACTCATTTTGCACCTTTAATAGGGTTGTTAATAAACTAAAATCACCAATCTGATTTATTTCTTTATTGGTTTGATTTGCCCAAACTGACCCATGGTTTGGAAATTGTATACACGTATTACAACTGTGTTATTTTTCCTGCAGTTTTCCTCCTGAAAATTGTCACTTCTCCCAATCCCTAGAAACCTCTTGTCTTATAGGTTTATCAGTGCAATGCACTGGACCTTGGCTTGTGCAATTTGTAACACTAATTCTGAATCCTGACTTTTTTTCTTCATGGAAACATGCCTAGCAATAAATCTTTTCTGGAGAGACGATCAGATTCAGTCCTGAAAGCCAGACACGAATGCTTTCTCCTCCAGAACAGCTTCACACAGACAAAAAAGTATCAGCAAGAACAAATGCCCATCAATTAGCAAAACATGTCTCGTGTTAGCTAGCTCCATTCTCAACTTAATCATTGGCTCAATCAATTCAATTTAAATAACCACCAGAGTAGTGAAACATTAGGCTAAATCCTGCTATACAAGGAAGCACCATTGCTTGAGACAATATTTTTCAAAATTGTATTTGGATATATGGCCAGATAAACTCTTGCTGTTTAGAAACAAAGCTTCAATCACAATTTTAAAGTAAATTATGAATTTCTTTGTGGATATCAAATTCATAGTGGGCATCCTTTTGCATTGTGGGAGTTTGTTCTTTTCCTCAACAAAGCAGGTCTCTCTTGATAGCGTTTTCTTGTAGGTGTTTTTCATCAGACTGTTCTTAGTAGAGATATAACCTTACACACTAAGGTTACCTCTCCTCTCATCATATCTTTTCACCACACAGATATGCATTTGTGCTGTATTTTAAAAAGTGATAGCAAGTAAGTATGCAAATTCCAACAGTAAAGTTGGGGGGTGGTGCCTGTAAGTAAGGAAGAAGGAACAAAAATACACCAGTTTCTCTACTTTCTCACCCACTAAATGGTGTCTCTCTTAATAACTCTGGCTGTCCAATAAGTTAAATGAGTTGCTTTAATTTCTTGCTATACACATTCTTTCTCCCCCATCCTGATTACATTTTGTACCCTATAACATGTTGGTGTTTTCCCATAGAGCATGATGAATTAAGTTTCAGTGCCTTTATTTCTTGAATTCTGTCCACATCATTTTTTTTTACCCTAAAGCGAAGGAAAACCTAGGTATTTTTAGTAGACATTTTGAACAAGCTGCTTGCCATGTGAATGTACAGGCCTCTGAATTAGGGAAGAACAGCATTGCACTTTGACCTGTGAGAGGTTAAATACATAGTTAGGGACATTTATCTAAATGGACAGTTATGCAAAGCTAATGCTTTTGCTTGATTACTATTCTGTCTCTTTCAGCAGGTTGTCTCTTTTCTGAAAAAGGTTATAAACATCAGGGAAAGTATACTGAAGAATAGAATTGATTAATGTGACATATTTGAGTTTCTTTCTACCACTCTCCCAACAGTGTGTCATAGAGAGGCAGTTCCAAACACAGTGAATTAAATTTAAATTACACAGCTTTGGCTAGAAGATTGTTCAGTTAATTCAGCCTCTGAAATGAAATTTGATTTTTTTTCCTTACACTTGAGCTACTTCCTGATTTTTCGTAGAGTGATGATTTCTGTCAAGGCATCTATTGATTTGAGATCTCTTATTCAGAAGACTATTGCTGGTTTTCCATTTCTGAGAGAATAAATATGGAAAACAAGAACATATATTCATTATATCAGGAAAAGCACATTAAAAACTAAAATATGGTTTTATGGTAGGGTCATATTTGTACAGTGATTTTTTTTCTACTGTAGGAGGGCTATAGAAGGTACTATTTATTTTATGACCTTTTTTTGTTATTTTAGGTACTGTGTTTCGCGAAAGATAACACTGAGAACATTCTCACACTTTCTGTGTGCTGTGGAAATGTAGAAAATAGTCAACTTTTTGTAAAAATATTTTATTTATTTATTCACAAGAGGCACAGAGAGAGAGAAAGGCAGAGACACAGGCAGAGGGAGAAGCAGGCTCCATGCAGGGAGCCTGACGTGGGACTCCATCCCAGGTCTCCAGGATCACGCCTTAGGCTGAAGGTGGCACTAAACTGCTGAGCCACCTGGGCTGCCCAATAGGTCAACTTTTAAAATAAAATTTAACTTGTGTGCCCTAAATAATTTAGTCTTCATGAAACACTATCTACTGAGTCGCACACATTTTTTTTGCCCATGAGTTTATTTTAAGAAGCAGCCTTCATTATTTATATTTGATGTTTGATTTCTAATTCAGAATGTAAACCTAGGCAGTAAAAGGTAGAAGCTTAGTTCAACAAAGTACCAATGCATCTATTGTATTTTAACATAAGTATTAATATGAGATCTGAAAAGTTGAGAATAATTCTCATGTACAGCTTCTGGTTCAATATCTAAAATCATATTATCTATAAATATAGTGCAAAAAAGATTAAATCGGTGCTACATTGCTTGAAATAGTAACAGTAATGTTGATAATATCACAACCTTTGTAAGCGTTTACAACGTGGTCCTATGTTAGACAGTTTTTCTGACTAATCCTTACAAGAGGACTATTATGCCCTCTTTTGCTATATTTTCTCAGATGAGAAAAATGAGGCTCAGAACCAGTTTGACACTTTTAAAGTAGAGTTTCACAACCTCCACACTATCGACATTGTGGCTCAAAACATCCTTTGTTGTGGAAAGGCTGTCATGTGCATTTTAGGATGTTTGCTTCCCTCATCTCTGCTCATTAGATCCTGAATAGTAGCAGACAGCCCCCCACCAGCCCCCCAGTCCAGCTGAACCTAAAATGACTCCAGACATTGCCAAACACCCCTCCAGTCTCAGGTGAAGGAAGAGAAAGGGGGCAGCATCACTGCTGGGATGAGAGGCACAGGATAAAGGAATTTATTCCCATCCTCCTCCTCCCCCTGTCAAGTACAGAACAACAACCCTATCCTGATTTCATCAATATAGTTACAATTCCTCAAGGGAAATGGGAAATTCTCTTGTAACCTTGAAGGTAACTTCAAAGAGTATCTACTGTGGTTGAGAAAGAAGTAGCTTTCCACTTGAAGTTGGCTCTTTAAAAAGCTGATAATCTGTCTGAAGTGAATTGGAACAATTGACCTGCAAGACCTCATAATCCAATAACTTGCTATTATCAAGTCAGTTTGGATGTTATCCTGCAAAATGTGCTGGTGCCAAAAGGAGGATGGGTTTTGCCTTTTAAAGCTCACTTTAATGAAAGATACCTGCGTGACCATAACACCAATTGCTGGTAGTTGTCACTGACATGAACAGTTACGATTCCAGGAAAACTGATAACTTAGAACTTCCTCTTTTAAAATAACAGCAAAATAAACCAATCCAGTCGCCCAACTATCTCTCAGGGGAATTAAGAGCAAAATAACATGAAACCATGTCAAGATGCTATTTAAATGCTTGTATTTATCTAAAGTTACATCATGAAATGTTAGCATCTGAACAAATTATTTTTCAGTAAAGACCCTTACCTTGAAAGAATTTTAAGCCAAGTTTTCGTCACAAAAGTGTATTGCCCTTCATCATCATTTTTCAAAATGACACCATTTTCCTAACATTTATTTGTTTATACTTTACTCCCTCACTATACTAAGTACTCCTGTAAATGAAAGTAAGTCATACCATGTTTCTGTTTTTCTTTAATATAGGATCCATATTATTATAATTCTGTTTTTAAATAAGGACTTCATCAGTGTTGTGGTCCTGAGTATCATCTAAACAACTATAATCCGCTTAATCCTTAGCCAATGTAATGAGATGTTTTCTGTCTTATACATTGAATTCTTTGTTACTTCAGTGTTAGCCAAATATGATGCAAACCTTCACAATTTCTATGCGATACCTATGCTGAGTTTACTGCTCCTTGTAAGTGGCAATAAAGAACAACCTTCGGTGCTTGCGAATGTGTTGATTATGTGGCTTACTGCTAGGATTTAGACACTCTCCTTGTTATTACAGTGATGGTTATCTTTTTTGCTGTAAGTGCAATGAAGCAACTAGAACGTCACAGAGAAAACTGTCACCTCTATCCTTTTTTTGCCGTAAAATATCCTCCCCCAATATGCTTTTCACTTATTACAAAACCTTAATGATGAAAGGACAATGGTGAAACGATACCTGCTACCTGAATATCGCAAAAATAAGAATCAGGTGTGAAAGCTACACACACAATTCCTCAAATGGACTATGTTTGCATCCCTTTAATGCATCGGTGAAATATATCCTCTACTTAATCTGCGTTTCCTAATAATGACAAGCTATATCTCAAAGATTCATCAAATTCTATCTGGTCATGAATATAAAAGGTTATAGCTGTTCTGCTTTTAGGAAGCCAAGTACAAGGACTGCATAAAGCCTACTGATGCATACTTTGTAGCCCTCCAGGGTTGTAATAAATTTCAAATCATCTGCTTGTGCCAGGTTGTCTTAAACCTCTGTATGCCACTGTGTGCAGCTTCTCTGTGCGGGAGAATGGATGGTTATCTACAAGTTGGCTACCACCATTTCCATGTCCTTATGCAAAATAAGGTGTAATCAGGTTTTCACAAATATGCAAATACGTCCATGAGAGATCCAAAGTAGGCCGAAAAATGTAGGCTCTGAGTCCTCAGGGAGGGAAATACTGAATTTGGTTTCTCAACCTATCAGGAAAACACGAACGAGGTTTCATTTGTCATTGGGATAAAGATGCGAGTATCTGTTAGGTCCCTTTCAATTAATCTGCTCTATGTGATTCTTTTACAGACCACAGATGACATCCTTGTGGCCTCAGCAGAATGTCCCAGCGATGATGAGGACATTGACCCCTGTGAGCCGAGCTCAGGTGGGTTAGGTTAGTCGACTTTTTTTCTTACTTTTTTTGCTTTACTCTAATAAGTCTTTGTTGCATGCTATAGTCCTTAGAAGAGCCTTTGCATTTATGTCGTAGAAGCCCCCCTTAAACAGTGCCTCATTGTGAGTTACCGGGTTTTGCTTTTTATGTGGATAAATTTCCCCACATTTATTGAAAAACAAATTTGAAAACCAAAACCCACCAAGATTATATATTTCAGAAAAAGCAGTGGGGGACAGCACACAAGGCTGCTACCTTACCGTTCACATTCCATTAACTCACAGTGTAATTTTTGTATATAACGGTATAATGAGCTTTCCCTTGGGTCACCTATAGTAAAATTGTAAAGCTTAAAAATTGCAGTGCATTGTGGAAAATTATTTGACCTTTCTACTGACAAAAAGTCCCCACCACTCACTCTGCCAGCAAATTATCTTAAGTGATAAATTTCTGAATTTCAGAAGTAAGAGTATTATGGCAGCAGTAAAACAAACCATAGGTAGAATCCTTGATATATTTAATAGAGAAATATAGGAGTCTTGCCGTGTCTCCCTAAAATTTAAGCTGATGCATTTTAACTATAGTTGATGCATAATTTCTCCTCCTTCTTTGTGATATGGTGTGCCTAACACAAAAATATGGTTTCCAAAGCAGCCCTGTACCACTAAGTGGTGGCTATAACTCTGAAAATGAATGAATCATAGGCTGGGTTTGCTTCCAGATATTCGTAATACCGAATGTCAGGGTCATTTCTTTTAGTTTCCTCTATAAAGCAGTGCTTCTTCAAAGTCAGTAATTTTCTTGTGTAGGTGAACAAGGTGAGTGAGATTGAAGAGAGGCTAACCACTGTCAGCTAGCTCATGACCTCTGTAGCGTCAGGTGGAATCTCAGAAGAACATCATGTCACCATAAAATAGCTACCTCATATTCTTCTGGAGAATATCACTTTAAAGTAAATCCATTCATTCTGATATTTGGATTTACAAAAATGGTTCAGGATGCCTATCTTGTGTCTCCTTTTGAATATCATGTCCCATTGATTGTAGCCACATACTCTAAGCGCTTGGAGCAGCTACCAGGTGCCACAAGGAGCAGGGACTCACAGTCACATCTCAGCAGGAAGGGGGTCAGGAGATACAGACAGGTCATGTCTTCATCCTCCTTCCTCTGGCCCCCACCCCACCCATCAAAATTCTCAGCCTCCAGAATGTGGTTAAAACCTTGATGATCCTCCATTCCATTTCTCCAGTTTACTGGGCTCTGCAACAGTTCTTTTTAGATTGTCTGGACAGATAGGGTCACTTCATCACACCATTCTGGGCCCTTTTGCTAGGTTCCTGACTGTTTTGTTTTGTTTTAAACTGGTATTCTCATTCTTTTTGTGTTAGTCAAAAAAAAAAAAAAGTGATTTCTTTTTTTTTTTTTTTTGCATTACATCAACCCCGCTTCTTTGCCTTCTCTTTCCCTACATCTCTTTGTTCTTTATTTCTCTTACTTCCACATGCCCGATCATGACATTCTTTTTTATATCTGAATTTCTCTGAGATCCTCCAGCATTGATTGTTCATAAAACAAAATCTGGTGTTAAATTATACATTGGGGGGTGTGTGTGTGTGCATGCGTGTGTGTGTGTGTTTATTTTTTATTTTGTTTTCCCAATTAACATTTTCTTGAGAGAATATTGATTTTTGCAGTATTTCTCACTATATTAACATAGTACTGAAAATGGTATAGATTCTTACTAATTACAGTACTCATTGTACTTGGTTTTCCTCTGGCCTGAGTCTTTCTTTTGCTGACTGACTGTAGACCATCATCCTCTTTATATATGGAATCCTCACCCTGAGTACCTAGCAAATTCAGTGTGAGAACTCTTATTGCACTTAAAATTGTTGCTTTTTTTTCCCTCTTGAACACAGCTAAATGATCCAATTCTTATAGCCACTGCTTAACCATTCTTCAGTGACTATCTTACTGGGTCACCTGGGTGGCTCAGTGGTTGAGCATCTGCCTTTGGCTCAGGTCGTGATCTCAGGGTCCTGAGATCGAGTCCCATATTGGGCTCCATGCAGGGAGTCTGCTTTTCCATTTGCCTATGTCTCTACCTCTCTCTGTGTGTGTCTCATGAATAAATAAATAATAGATATGTTAAATGACTGTGTCTCTCTTTCTCTGGGAACACCAGCCCTAAGAACAGGATGGGGTGGGGGGAGAGAAGAGAGGGAGAAGAGAAGAAGAGAGATAACTTTTTGGTCATTCCCTCTCCTTTTATTCACCTGACTTATGTCTGTTTTGTGACATATTATAGCATGATGGAAAGTGAGGAGCAGTTTAATAGCCATACTCTAAACAATGTTTCTGTTCCATTTTCTTCCCCATACTTGTCACTATCAGAAAGAATCTTTTTTGCTTACCTGTTTGTTACTTGTTCATTAATGTACAGTTTGCATCCGCCCAAGAATGTAAGCTCCGTGAAGCAGGAACCTTGTTTGTCTTGCCCCCTGCATGGATTTGTTTTGTGAACTTTAATTTTCTCTCACTACATCAGAGTCCATTGTCCAATGTACAAGGCACAGCAGCTACTATGTGTGATGACAGCACCTTCCGTACTCTTGCACCAAGTCTACTGGAACTTTCCATCCGCTCCGTTGGTCCTTCTTTCCACAGTCCATAGTTTTCAGTTCATCAAGTCTCTTAAGGCTTAAGCTTCAAATTCAGTTGCTTCAATGTCATCTATCTCTGTAGGCACTTGTGATCTTACCTCTCCTTGGTAGCATCTTGATGGTGTAGTTCATGAATGCTTTCTCTTTCTACATTGCATTTTGTAAGTGAGAGCTCTTTTCTACATCGGCTTTTTCTGTCTAATTCCCTATGATTTTTTCATACCTATCTTTAATAATGCATGCAATGTTGCTCTTTTGGCAGACTTGGCTCTGTGTGACAGCTTCCTATAAAATCCTTAGTGTATATGTTTTTTTTTTTCTATTTTCCAACCATCTTTTTTAATGGCAGTGTTTGTTTTTTTTTTTAAATCATGTTCTAAGCCAATATTATTTCATTATAGGATGCCCCTCCTGCACATCTTTGTTTCTCAATGTACTGATGTAGTGGCTTTCTTAAATATATTTTTCTTGCTTGCTTTTCATCTTGAATACAAACATAAAATAACATGGACAAAAATTATAGTTGCTGCTGTTATTAGACTTTATTGTTAGATATAACTTGATGGAAATCATGTCAGATATCAGCAGGTCATATTTTGGGAAACTGATTTTTATAGGAATGTAATATACTGAGTTAAATATTCGGAAATAGATATCTGCCATGTACTTTTCCTATTCCTTAAACAAGTGAGAGATTTTTTTAAAAGATTTATTTATTTGAGAGAGTGGGGAGGAAGGGCAGAGGGAGAAAATCTTCAAGCAGACACCCTGCTGAGTCCAGAACCCACTGCCAGGCTTGACCTCAGGACCCTGCTGAGCCACCCAGGGACCCCAACAGAAGAAGACATTTTTGTAAAAAGATGCATAATTACTTTTACAGGTGGGTTGCCCAGATCTTCTCTGTATTTCACACTGTCTTTCAGGATCCCTGAATATTTACATATGAAGCCTCTCTAATGACCCTAATGAACCCTCTCTTGAAAAAAGTGGCTTCTTATGTGAAAATGGGTTGTGTTCATTTACGTGCCTTCCCTAAGGCTATTAATGAAACAGGAAAAATCTGGCTGAACACAAGTAAACTATACCTTTTATCAAGTATTTGATGAATTTGAATTACTCTGTGGCTCCACTCAAAACTCTTAAAGAAGAGGGAAGTTATATATTTGGTGGACTGTCAATTCCACCATTGATTAAGTAGTATTGAGTCCTACTTTACCACCCACTGCTGTTAACCACTGGGAATAGAAATAGAAAATTTGCACCTTCATTTTCATTGTACAGAAAGCCATCTTTCATTCTATGTCACATGCTTTTTCAGTTATTTTTCATGATTGCCAGGTTCTTCATCTTTGACATTAAAATATTCACTTATTTTTCATGTTGTTGCAAGAATTAAAACAAATATATTTAAGGCACCAACTGCAATCCCTGGCATGAAATAGAGAATAAATGGTTGCTTTTCATTTTCCCAGTTCAGTTATATAAAAAAAAATATTCAAGCTATTTTTTCCCTTTTACGTAATGCTGTTACTTTTCCTGGCTGAAAATTGGTGGGCAACTAATGAAACCACTCAGGCCTCCTGATGGGAAGTGTGCATGTTGAAACTGGATCAGGAGTCACCCCCTGGGTGAGAACACATGGAACTCAATTATACTTGATTCCAGTCACACTGTCCTGCATGGCTAGCATTGGGTGACAACTTCACATTGGTATAAATTTAGTGTTTTAGAATATAAGAGTGTGGCTATACAACTTAGGAGGTCTAATTGAACCCCAACTTTTAGAATAAGCAACTAGGTCACATTGCCTTAAAATGCTGGGTTTCAGCTGCCTGGACATGTGACAAGTGTATGACCTTTTCTTCACACTTCTCAAAAAGACTTGCAATTTATGTGCTTTTTCCTCAGCCTAGAGATATGGTTGTTAGATTAAATGAATTAATATATTTGAAGCATGTTGTAGAACAGTGTCTTGGTCATAATACATGCAATATGAGTGTGTACTGTTATTACAGTTTGTATTATATAAATATACATATTTTCCAAAATGTCTTTTTTTTTTCACATAAAGAGAAGGCTTTGTAAGACTGAGTTCTTTGAAATCTTATGTTTTTGATTCACTTAGTAAACTGACAAAATGGCAGCCTTGCAAACCACTTACGTTCCAAAATGGCCCTTAATTCTGTCTATACATTTTAGTTTTGAGGCCCTCTTCTAAACAGACCCTTTTCTCAAAACTCCTGAAGAAATTAGAAGAGGTGACATCTAAGATTATATCTAAGACTTAAGACTATAAATGAAGATAATGATCCTCTCTGATATAGGAGCTTCCTGATG